TATCAAGATATAAATTACTTTTTTCAAATGAAGTACTCAATGAATAACAAACTCCTAAATCAAATTTTATGAGCATTTTGTCTCGTTCATTATGAACGAGAAGTTTCTCTTTAACAAGGAATTGATACATTGTTAAACCTTTTTGAAAAAAAACTTCCGCTTGGGCATATTCTTTCCTACGTAAGGCATTCCAACCCATTGATATGAGCGTTTGTAAACCATGATAATGCTTAGGTATTCCAATTTGTTGGATTTTTTGATATATCAAAAACGCATTTTGATAATCTCCCATCCAATCATAAGTATTGGCAAGATTATTCAGAAAAGGAAGTTCATATTGATTTAAGTGGTATTCTTTACAAACCAATAAACCTTTTTGGATATAATGAATCGCCTGCGTATAATTTGCTTTACGAGCATAAAACATCCCTTGATGATCCCAATGATTGGCAACATAATTAGGAATTTCAACAGTTAAATTAGGACTTTGTCGTAGTAAATTATTGGCTTTGCTAAAAAAATAATCCGTTGAATCACTTTTATACAAAGTAAAATAGTTAGTAGCTAGATTCAGATATACTTTAAAAATACATTTTTCATTAGACTTATTAATATTAGGCAAAAGCTGGAGAACTTCTCTACCTACTTTGATGGAAGCTTCGTGTTGAGCAAGAGCATATAAAGATTCTAATTCATCTAGTTTTTTTTCAGCTAATTCCAAATTTTTATCCTTGGATAATCTCATTGAGATTCCATCTTGAATCAAGAAGAAATTTATTAAAAAGCCTAGTATAAAATATTTCATGTATAAAAAGCAAGGAGTGGTTAAGTAAAAGACATTATTTACATTCTAAATGTAAATATTACTTAGGAAAACACTATGTTAATATAAATAAATTATTTAGAATAATCAGACAAACAACCTCTTCAGATTAAAAAGAATTTGATAAACCAAGAAAAAGCCTTTTGGAAGAGAAAGAAGGAGAAAATACTCTAAATCAGAATTTTTGAGTATGTAAATAGCTCAATTAGCCTGCATCAATGCGGCAAAAGCCAAAAACTTATTTTTCGGTCTGCTTCTTTTTTAAACGTCGTATTTTTTTTACAAACGCTTTAATTTTTGAGCTAAACTGTAAACGTATATTCTTTGTAGTTAATAGAAACACTTGGATTGGACTTACTTAAAAAAGTTAATTATTTATTTATTCCTATATTTATGACTCAATGTTATGCAATTAGGTCATCAAAGAAAAATTTAAACGTTGAAAAGCATCGTTAATCTTTTCAGCGTTTATCCCACAACACACAACTAACATATTATCAAATAGATTAATATTCCGTTTTGCAATTTCATTATACCCAGAAAGAAACAAAACTCATCAATTCCTTGATTCAAGATTAATTTATTGAAGAACTTACTTATTAATAACCTATAAAATTACAAACACTTGGCACAATCTATTAAAATCAAGCAGCCTCTTCACTCGGACTTATATGATGCAATTAAGAACGGGGAAACATGGGCTTTTGAGTATTTAGAAAAAATACTCTATTCTGGGCATTTATTCGAATTAAAAGGAGACTCAAATACTGCGTTTGATCTTTATCATGATGTAATTATTGAACTTTATATTCGAGTAACTGAAGGGAAAATAGAAAAACTAAATAATGATAATTCAGCGATGATTATTGCATGGGCCAAAAGGCATCTCGACTGGAAGAGAAGAGATTATTGGAAAAGTTGTGGTTATAAAGATGTTAGCCGACTTGATAACGTTACTGAACTTTTTGGCGTTGTTCAATCAGAAGCTGAGAGCATTTTATATTATCAGCAAGTTATTACATTGATAGATGGAATGCCAAATAAATGCAGGGACTTACTTACTGATAAATTAATAAACGATTTGGAATGGAAAAAAATATATCAAAAATACCCTAATGACAACGAAGGAAGCTTGAGAGTACTTTTCAGCAATTGTTTAAAAATATTAAGAGACCAATTAGATGAATAGACATTTTTTACTTTGTGCTTGTTAAATAATTTTAAAAATATCATTTTTCTTTAGTTAAAAGGTTGGTAGCTTTACACTAAAATTTATATCAAATGAATATTACTAGTGAAGATACATTAAGGCTTATCAACCATTTAAGTGGAGATGAAACAGAACAAGAGAAGACCGCAATCATTGAAGAATTAAATTCAAACCCAAATCTTCTCCGTGAATATGAAAAACTTCAAAAACTACGTACTGTTCTAAAAGCCTCTATAATAAGTAAAAAACTAAAAGCAATACACGAAACTGCCAAAAAAGAAGAATCAGGACAAACAGATTGATTTGTTTGCAAATTCCGTTTTCAATTAAATATACCTTCTTTACATTTTTTCTTTCTTAAAAATTACAAAATAGACTACTATTCTATTTAGTGATGGCATGAACCATTAATTTCTCCCATCATGAAAAAAAATATATCAATTGCTACTTTTCTCAGTTTAGCGGTATCTTATTGCTATTTTTCTGACTGTCATTTTTGCTTTTTTAACCCTTCGAATCTAAGGTTTATACAACCTTAGATAATTTTAATCCTTGTGTTTTAATCGTTTTTTATAAAAGCTAAATCAACATATTCAGGATGGAAAATCATGGCCAAAAATCAGTTTTTTATAAAATTTTAGCACTATTAGCCATAGCTTTCGTAGTAATTATTTATAGAATAAAGGCTAAGAACTGGGATGTCAGCCAATATAAAGATATACACTTAAATTCAGATACGCTGTATATTGGTTCTACTGAAAAATATGTTGATCATGAAATGTTACTATTCCGTTTTCAGCGGTATTATAAGGCTAAAATCAACACAGAAAAATATAAAAGTAGGACTCTGAAAGAACTATACCGACTCCTAAAAGACGATAAAATTAATTGTTTAGTTATTTCGGCAACCAATGTGGATACATCATCTATCGTTTGGAGTGAGCCTTACGCAATTGACAATATTGGAAAAAATGGACTAAGGATCGGTTTGCCTAAGACAAAGCATAATCAATTTCTAATTAAGCAATTCAATCATTTATGAGGAAAATATACTTTACTCTTCTTTTACATCTCTTTGTATTTTCAGTGTTTTCACAAAAAATACACATTATTGGTTTGATAGATTATCAAAGTGATGAAAGAGTGTATGGAAATAAATATATAAAAAATCAGCTCATTGAGTTAGAAAACATCTTTAGAAATACAAATTATGAGGTAGATACTATCTTTTTCTTAAAAGAAGAACTGGCTGATACAAATTTTGTAATCCACAAAATTAAAAATTTACAAGTAAATCAAAATGATGCCATTTTCTGCTACGTAGCCGCTCATGGGTATAACAAAAATAATGAATTGTATCCTACTGTAAGACTAGGGACAACGAATCAATCGGACATTTATTTGGGAAGTTTAAAGCAACTTCTAACACAAAAACAAGTTCGGCTTTATGTTCTTTTGAATGAATCCTGCAATGTACTTTATAAAACTCAACAGCTTTTTAGTAGGAATACTCCACGGACAAATCTTAATAAAAAGACAATAAAGGCATTGTTCAATGATTCAAAAGGGTCATTTATTATGATGTCTTGTAATGTTAGTCAACGTTCAATCATTACTGATGAAGGAGGAATTTTTGGTCAATGTTTTTTTAATGCTTTAAATGAACAGTTTTATTCAGAGCTACCGCATTGGGAAGTAATTGCACAAAAAACGGCACAATTAACCCCTAAAAAAGTACTAGAAAATGATGCCAGTTTTATACAAAATCCAGTTTATGAAAACAATATTCAATACGTTGAATCTAATAAAACTCAAGAAGAAATTGAAAAACAGATAGTTATTGATGTTAGTACTAATACTTATCGAATTGATGATTTTGAAATTGAGATAAAAACCGATAAGGGTCGAAACGATATAGTTTATTACAAAAGTGATACAATAAGATATTGGTTTAAAACGACTAAACCCTGTTTTTTAAGACTAATTGATATTTGGCCAGATAATCGTATCTGTTTGTTATTAGATAATTATGAAGTAAAACCTGAAGAGGTTTCAAAATGGGTTGAAATAAAAATTGCAAAAGGCAAGTCTATTATCTGTGTTGCTCCTTTTGGAGTAGATTATTTAATGTCTTTTGCTTCTACACAACCTTTTTGCAAGCTAAACCTTATGATATACAAGGGTACAAAATTTGTTAAAGAAGATTTGAAGGAAGTCTTGAGTTGTTCAAGGAACTCACCTAATAATATTGTTTTAGAAGATAGATTATTAATTACCACAAAAGATCGGCTATCAATCGCCAAACCTAAATAAATTGTATTTAACTAATAAATAATTACTAAGATGATTGCTCTATTTTTTAATAAAATACTCAAGCTATCCTTTTTTTTAACCTCTAAAAAGAAAGCGGTACTTTCATTCCTTTTCTTGGTTTTTGCATTACAAACATCAATAGCACAAAATAGGTCGTTTAGCCCAAATCCGACAGGCGAACGAAGAATTGCACTCGTTATTGGGAACAAAGATTATACTGGTGTTTCAAAGCTTAGAAACCCTATCAATGATGCTATTGATATGACAAACTCCTTGAAAAGGCTAGGCTTTGAAGTATTTACTTTAAAAAATGCTGATTATAGAACTTTTATAGATTCTTTAAACATCTTCACTTCTCAACTTAGGAGTAGCGATGTAGTTTTGTTCTATTACTCGGGGCATGGTGTAAGTTATAACAACGTTAATTACTTATTGCCAACTGATACCAAAATTCGTTGCCTAGAACAAATTGAATCTTCTGGTATTTCACTCAATCGTATCTTAGTAGATATTGCTTCAAAAAGTGTAAAAAACAGCTTCGTCTTTCTTGATGCTTGTAGAGACTTCCCACATTTAATGAGTTGTGATGCCAGTAAAAGAAACATTACTGCACCAACAGGGCTTGTACGTCCTACCAATAATCCACAAGGAAGTATGGTTGTTTACGCTACTAGAGAAGGCAGTACAGCCGATGATAATATCAACGAGCGAAATGGAATGTTTACAGGGACTCTTCTAAAGTATATTGAGATACCTAATATTGGTATCAGAAGTATTTTAGATAGTACAACAGCTGGAGTAAGAACAAAAACAAATTATCGTCAATCACCTGGTCGTTATGATGAACTAGAAGGAGATTTTTATTTCCTAAAAACAAGGACAGTCATCAGCTATGATGATGTAAATAAGTCTATTCAAGAAGGAGAAGCCGCTTTTGAACAAAAACAATATGATGATGCCTTCAGATACTATTTTCCACATAAAGAACATACCATTTTTAAATCACTTAATCAAGGACAGCTTGGTTTTATGTACGACATGGGTTTTGGTGTACGCCAAGATTATTCAGAGGCGATGAAATGGTATCTAAAAGCTGCTGAAAAAGGTGATGCACGTGCTGAATATAATCTTGGCATCTTTTATGAAAGAGGATTAAGTAATCGTCAAGACTATAAAAAAGCCGCAGAATGGTATCTTAAAGCCGCAGAGCATCATTTAGCAGATGCTCAGTTTAACCTAGGTTTTTTATGTGAAAAAGGATTGGGAGTAGCACAAAACTACCGGGAAGCTACCGAATGGTATCGTAAAGCGGCCGAACAAGGAGATGCCGATGCACAAGTAAACTTAGGCTTTATCTATGAAACTGCTCAAGGACTTCCACAAGACCTCAAAGAAGCAGTAAAATGGTATAAAAAGGCTTCTGACCAAGGTGATGCTGAAGGTTCATATAATTTTGCTAGATTGGCTAGCAATTCTTTATCAAGCCAAGAATTAATCAATATCTACACTCAAGCAGCAAAACAAGGGCACATTGAGGCACAGTTAAATTTAGGATACATTTATGAAACAAGTAAAGGGACTCTTCAAAATACTTCACAAGCAATTAATTGGTATCAAAAAGCAGCTAATCAAGGACATCCTATAGCGCAATTTAATCTAGCAGTAATGTACGATGCAACTAAAAATGGTTCAAATCAAAATTATGATGAAGCAATCAATTGGTATCAAAAAGCAGCTAAACAAGGGCTGCCATTGGCGTATTATAATTTAGGAATTATATATGAATACGGAAAAGGTGTATCTAAAAATAGCAGTTTAGCAAAAGACTACTATAAAAAAGCAGCTAAACTTGGAAATGATTCAGCACAAAAAGCCCTCGGACGTTTTGGGATGACTTGGTGAGTCTCATCTC